GCGACTCGCGGTCTTTATGTCAAACGGTTCTGGTCTGGTACCGAATTAAATTAGTGCTGCTGTCAGATAATGGGGTCGTGTGTTCTGTTAAATACTGCTGGTGCACGTTTACCAAACAGGACCCGTGCAGGCTTTAAACTGCTTTGCGTAGTTTTTCAAATATTTGGACGTTTTTATTTTATTTCAGTTTACGAAATAGTTTTTTCATCAATCGTTTTAGTCTTAGTTTTAGTTTTCGTTTACGAAAATAACCTTGCTCAGCAGACCATGCCATTGTCATAACGCACATTTGTGTGATTTTCCCTGTCTAGAAATTTTCTCCTGACAGATCCCACTGATCTTGACCTTCCTCTTGAACTGTAGGATCTGCAGCCCAGATGGCAGGCTGTATGCATGAACAGCAGGCTGAGATAAAGCGAGGCTCATATACTGGAGCTGAGCTGAGATTTATAGTCTCCTCAAAAACACGTACCTTGTATTGTCCTCTCAGCATCTGTTCTGCCACTGCTGCGGTCAGTCTCTATCTCCTGGGTCAACGAGTCTGGCAAAATGAAAAGATAATGACGATTAAACATCCATGACATCTGTGCTTAATTAGGAAAGTTTTTCTAGCCTCATCTTTCGTGATGGGCGGAGGGTGGATGTGCTCGGATCGCTCGGGTCAGGGCGAAACTTCGACCAATGGATGAGTGGTGTTACAAATACTGAACAGAGCTTATTTTTCTTATTTCTATTTCTATTGAGCTTTATTTTTTCTTAGTTTTAGTAATTACAGTACTTCAATTTAATTCAGTTGCCAGGGCAACATCTCTAATTTTCTAAACTTAAAGTTGAAAATATTCATCATATATTTCAGCATTATGTAAATTAACAAAAAATATTTCAAATAGATTTAATTAACAATAACATCAACGGTCCATTGTGTCCAGTACACACATGCAAACCAGATTTTGGGCCTTTTCGTTATGAAATAAAATGTTTGTTTTTATGGAGGAAATGGTTTTTAAACTGCATATTATTGTGATCTCACTTCATCAATATGCACGGATTCTCTCATATTATTTGAGCTTTTTATAAATCTCTATAAAATACTTGATTCTGATTGGTCAATAGTGGCATTATTCCTGGCAATTTTTTTCTCAAACACATTTTAATTTGTATCATTTCATGGGCTCTTTTTTCTTTAGAATTTTTTTCAACGTAAATCAATATCTCATGGCCATTTATATACATTTTTAGTCATTCAGTGTATATTAAATGGTGCAGTCACCTCGTAATTGTCACAAATAAAAACCCTTTGTGTGATGGAAGACCCCGACATGAAGATTCTTTCTTTTTGTGATAAGGACCTGCTTACTGTGTTCTCTCAAACATACTGAAGCATATTTCATCAAATTATTCTCAGAAAGTATCTACACACACACACACACAAAAGATATTTAACATGGAGCTTACTTCATCAATACTGCAAATTCCTTATGCTCGACACATCTCATAAGACTTTAAAATGGAATAGAAAAACACATAATTTCTACACCCTTTTAATAAATTTAAGTATGTCCATGTTCTGGTAAGGTGTCGTACCATTGAGTGATCTGAGACTTTCTGTGGGTGAGGCCTGTTTCAGGGATTGCTCTGCCTGCTCTCGCCGTTTTGACTCATACTCCAGCGCCTCCTGCAATTTCCTCTTTGCTTTCTTTTCCTTCTTCAATCGCTTCTGAATGATCGCTGCATTAAAAGAACACAGAAAGGCAGCAGTCAGGGACCCCGGTCATATGCAGCGGTATTTCTGATATTAAGGACTAAAGGAAGGGGAGGTGAGTTTTCAAACTGTCAGTGAGGAAATATTCATAGAAAAGTTGCAGCTGAAAAAAAAAAAGATCTCGTTCAATGAGAAATTGACTGTGTCATTAGCGAAATAATTGAGCCAGCGATAACCTGGATTAACCTGGGTTAAAATGCCAATGAGACAAGGTTAAGGGAAACTTTCTGTAAAGAAAGAGAGAGGCACGCTGAATATTAAACAGAAAAAAGCTGGAGGGCTATAGGCACATTTAGAAGGATCTTTCTGTGAAACTGGCTTAATAAGCTCAATTTGATTCATTATGTAGGATAAATACATAGAACATGAGACTATTAAGTCGCACTTAGCAATACTTTTGTGCAGAAAAATCTAAATCATTTATTGATGTCAAATTTTAGATTCATAATTATATTTTCATACAATAATAGAGTACAATAGAGTATGTAACTAGAGGCCATCTGTAATGCACATATCACTTTTAATCTCAAAGAGAGTTGAAAATTATTAGCTAAACTATTATCAATCTGCAGTCCAATCATGGCCTTCCCTCGAGAAATATTGTGGCTCATTTAGAAACATTTACCATATAAATTACTTATTCATATTTTTATGAGTTTAACCACACTCACTTGAATGAGGACTTTGTATATCTTTCTAATGCACCATGTGCATTTAGATATTGTCTATGTATGTAGTTATGGTAATGCTGTATTCCCACAAGCATTTCTGCACACATAATCAATATGTGCTCATGTATTGATCATAATGTGAATATGCCTCATTTTGCTCGATTTATGACCTTGTCTCTGTCACTATGGCAGTATGTTTTTCGTGTGCTTGTAATTAACAACTGAGCTTATAACATGGCTTTTCAGGTCATTTTAATGCAATTTTGCACTAAATTTTGAAAAGGATGCATTGAAGGTCATTTGTTAATGAGATTTTTGCATTTTCTGAAGAAAATGTGAGTGGTACTTGCCTATACAAAACTCACCACCAAGATGCTATGATTATTGTGGGTGGTTACTTATAGGCCCAAGATAAAAAGGCCACCATCAAGTCTTTATGAAAATTGATCTCTAGAATTTTAAGCAGCCATTACTTCAGTGTCACATGATCCTTCAAAAATAATTCTAATGTGCTGATTTGTTGCTCAAGTAGCATTTCTTAATATGATCAGAGCTGAAAACGGTTAACCATGATACATTTTGTTTTTCAGGATTCTTTGATGAATAGGAAGTTCAAAAAAACAGCATTTACCTGAAAGATATTTTTTTGTCACAATGTAAAAGTCTGTCAGTTTTGATCAATTTAATGCATCCTTTCTGAATTATTAAAAGTATTAAAAATTTCATTTGAAAAAAAGGACTACCCCCAAACTTTTGAATGGAAGACTGTTTTTTGTTATTATTATTATTATTTGCTAGTCATAAATCAAAAGTAAAAAATGAAGCATATATCAGGTTGTTTGATTTGAGTTACCATGTTCATGTTCTTTTTTTATACTTTATTTTTTGACAGATTTTGTTTTAAAACACACAAACAGAAAATGTAAACCAAAATATCTACCACAAGACACTCGGATTCACAAAGAAAAAAGAGCAGAAGGAAAAAAAATAAAAATTAAAAATTAACAACAACAGTTACATGAGGTCTTACAAGAAATCAAGAAACGCATGATACAGATAGAAGTTGAGATGCACTTTGGAAGTCTAGCCATTGCTTGTTCGTAGTATATAACAATCCTATTTCCTCCAATAATTTCCCCCTTTATTCTTCTGTAACCGGAGGGAGAAGGTCATTTTTTCCATAGAACATATTTGACTGACAATACTTAGAAGAAGATCCATATCAGGAGGGCTTCTCTTAAGCCAACATTTAGTAACTGCTTTCTTACATGCAACTAAAAAAATCTTTAATTGATAACTATCACATTTATTCAAACCCTCCAGTGTGACCCCTAGAAACATAGTGGGAAATGACATATCTATGTTAAAGCCTATTACCCTATATATTAATTGCCCTGCCCTTCCCCAAAAATACTGAATTTGAATACAGAGTCTGCTTGTACAGAACCGCACTCCCTCCAGAAGGGGTGCTGTTTCCCAGAGAACTTAAATTTTTGCATAGGGGTTAAAAAAATCTGATCAAACATTTCCACCCAAAATCTCTCCAGATTAATGAATGAGTCGTGGAACACTGAGTTTTCCATGCAAGAAGCCATACGTCTTCTGATATTTCCTCCCTCATGTCTTTCTCCCATCGCTGTCTGACACCATGTTCATGTTCATGTTCATGTTCGCAGCACAAACAAGCTACGCACAAAATTAAAAACAATTATTCTGATTTTATTGGCATTTTCTTTATTATAATCTGATATATTTCAAATTAAATGTTGTATTCTAGGCCTAATTATGGTGCTTGCTTTCACATACTTTCTCATAAACATTCTTCTGCAAAAACTTACCCAAAACACTTTTAATAACCACCTAGCAATGCCGTTGTGATCACCTTCAACATCTAAGAATCTGCCTACCAACACTATGCAACCCCACAAAATGACTTTTACACATGTAAGCAACACTCCCATTTTACTCAGAAAATGTGAAATCTAGTTAATACATGTTATCAGACAAAACGATAGTGGTTTAATTTTATAGGTAATAAATACTCAACCTAATTAGTCAGACTGAGAATGTATGTTAATGAGCTGATTAAAATGAAGTAATTGACATGACACAGTATTTTTTATATGGCTAGAAAAAAATGTGTCCCCATAAATACGATTCACAGGGGCAAATATAGCCCCTTAATGGAAAACTTAATTTCTGAAATTGGTGTGTACAGTAAAATGTTTTGCCTTTATTCATGAAATGCCTCTAGAACCAGGAATCAGACAATATAAGGTATAATAAATTGTGTACTGTAGTGTGTGAGTGTTTGAGTAATACACACCTCTGTTCTTCTGCTCAACAGCCAGTTGTTTCTCTAGGGTTTCTCTGAGCTCTCGCTCTCTAAACAGCTCCATCTTCAGCTCCGTCTTCTCCAGCTGCACTTGTTTCTCCTGAGCACGAGCGTTATCAATTGCCACCTTCAGCAAACCCTGCAGCAGAAGACAAACTCACCTTATACACAGTCCACACACACCTCTCCTCAGGAGTCAATGAACTGTATGAATGGTTTACTTTATGCTAGAGCAGTAGCACTTAAACTTAGGAAAGTATTTTGAAGAAAACAATCAGTCAATAGTAACTCTTGTTGTACAGAGCCCCCGCATTTTTCAAAATATCATAGAAAAACAGGTTTGGAAGGATAAGAGTGTGAGTAAATGAAGACAGGACTTTAAATTTTGGATGAACTGTCCTTTCAAGTTTGAGAACTATATAAATTCTTTAAATATATTTATGAAAGCAACATAGACATAATGAGATCCTTAATAAACCTATACAGTAACTTCTGTTTGTCAGTTTGTGAAGCAGCAGGTTGTATTAGTGTGATCAAATCTTGAGCTAAACAGCTGCTTTTCTCAAAACAGCACTTCAAGCGGTATTCGCCGTGCAAACGCATGGTGACCATTTCGAAACAACTGTTCCCTGTACGCATGCAATTAAGCCAAATGCAATGGGCTATATCATACTAATTGTTTCTTCTTATGACCCCAATTTAGACTAAGTTGCTTTATCTCAATTTTCTGCTTGGGTTCGTTTTGTTGATTTGTGTGTGAATGTTCAATCAAAACATTACCCTGAAATCATGATTAAAGATGACTGACTGAACTGAGTCCTGCTAATTAACAATGGGGCCGAAAGCAGCGCGATATATCTGATGGCCATATCACAAGAGCAATGAGCAAACCTCTCACTCCCCATACTGTACCCACATCATTAGTCTCAGAGGTGGTGTTAATCAACTACATTCATCTTTCTGACTGGGTCTTACTTGCATGACAACCGCAGTGATGATCAAGGGAGTCGTGGCGAATATACGCCACTGTGCGTTTGTTTTGATGGGAAAAACATCACAGCTGGAGGAGGACCCAGGAAAGAACTATATTAACTTTTTGCCACACCTGACACAGGCAACTGCACCCTGCGTATAAAGACACTTCTTATTACAATTAAAAAGAAGTGTTTTTATATTATATATATTATTATAATTTAAAATGACTGTTTTCTATTGTAATATATTTCAAAATGTTATTTGTTCCTGTGATGGCAAAGCTGCATTTTTTTGCAGCCATTACTCTAGTCATCAGTGTCCCATGATCCTTCAGAAATCATTCTAATATCTAATATCTAAGAAATCTAATATTTTTAGATAATTTTTCTTCTTTTGCAAGTTAGATAAAAGTGTCTGCTAATGATTCAATGTGAAAAGCATAAATATTTCTTACTGTGTGAACGTTTGACTTAAATTCAAGCATGATGTTTATATCACTGCACATCAGCCTCCTTTCACAATATTTTCCAAACTTCAGCTTAAGATTGCTATAATTTGTGATAAACAACTTGATGTGCCATCTCCTTCCATTATGTGTAATCTTGAGCATCACTGGTGTTTGTTGTGTTATGACACATGATGTGTTAAGATCATGACATGTGTCAGCTGGCCAGTCCACAGTGGGCTAAAATAAACCGTTACTATGGCAACCAGCTGATGGTCTGCTAAAATTCCAGAGGAAATTTCTCTGATAATGATCTTTTATTGGAAACACCATATAATTGAATTATGACTGAGTTTCCACGTATAATTTATTGCTAAAACTAGAAAGTCCAATTAATCAAATTTATCTATTTGGTTCATTTGAATGTTTGTTTAGAAATTTGGTTTATTTGGACATTATTTTTTGGATGTTGTTTGATAGTTTTTTTGGATGTTTCACTTCAATCAGTTAAAAAGTCACCACTCAATACCATTTTCGAATATCTGCTGGGGAAAAAAATGCTTAAACCAGTCTAGGGTATTGTCATGCTCTCAGCTGGTTTAAGGTGGACTCCCAATATATCACTCATAACATATATTCAACATAAATTTACTCTAAAACAAACTTCTCACTTGCCTTACAGAATCATATTAATACACACTGAATAGTTATGACTGAATTTTACCAATTCACCAATTAGTAGTTAGTAGACCATCTGAATCAACCATGGAGAACTGTATGAAGTAAAACTATTCATAGTGTGTTTCACTTTCTGCTAAAGATCTTCTGACAGATAGGTATCTTACCTGGATGTTAGTCAGAAGGGTCTCTATAGATGACAGGCCATCAGGGAAGAGGAAGGGTGAGGGGAATCCTGGAGGTAACGTCTGACCCGCAAACGAGAGCCTCTCATAATTGTCTCTTGCTGTTGGCGTGCACATGGGGATTTCTTCTGGTGGCAAACAGAGAAACATACACATTCAGCACAACAGATGACACACTCCATGTAGTACTGTGCTGTAAAATAAATCATTATTTTCCTGAATTGGTGTTTATAAACCCAGATTGTTTATGAGATGTAAAATTAACATCTATACAAGCATGCCCAATCAAGCACGTATGATTGATAGCCCATTCTGTCAGCGTCACACGGCACTCTATTATTGATGCTTCTGTATTTATAGCTGCTATAAACGCTTGAGAGATTTTACATACCGATAGAATGAGAGATTCTTCGAAAAAAAAAAAAAGGGCATTTGCATTTTTGGAAAGTATATGTTCTTGGTAGCGTTGAAGGCATGGATATGTTGGAAGACAAAGCCTACCCTTTCCATATGGCATGAAAACTCTCTGATAAGAAAAGCCTGCACTCAAGCAGATGGATATGGCAAGTAGAGATTATCAAGGGCCCTGGCTTCAACAAAGGCCATATGGCACAAGGTGCTGAACCCTCATTGACCATGTTTCAACACTACTGCCGCGCCCTCAGCAGACTGGCAATGCCATTTTGGGCATATGAATTAAACCCCTCAAAGGAATCGGTGCATAAAAAAATCGATATGATTGGATGAGATTCAAGAGGCACCTGATAGAACAAAACAGAGGAGTAAAATAAATATAATTTATTCTCTCTCAGTCGATGGTTGACACATAAATGTGCAGGTGTAAAATGTCACAGGTGGGGCTGCAGTTAAAACCCTCTGGAAATAAAAGAAAAAGGATTTTATGTCTTCCAGACAAATAAAAACATGGGCTGGCACATTAAAGTGTATATATTTTATCACCTAGTCCACTGGGACTTCCTGCTGAATGTCATAAGGAGAGAAAACGCTGGGATGAGCACTCTAAAGTAGACAGCATGTCTTTACAAAGAGCTTTCTGAGATTAATCACCATGTCAACTTGTTAAATATTATGTGGGTAAATGAAAGTTAATTAAAGTACCCTGTGTTATAAAATAAAATAAATACATGAAAAATTAAATTTTCTTTATAGTGTAGCAAATGGTTATGTTACAACCAACTTGCATTGCATTTACATTTATGCATTTGGCAGACACTTTAATCCAAAACAATTTACACTACATGCAAAACATTTTAAACGGTATGTGTTTTCTAGGAATTGAAACTTGGTTTTGTTGATTCTATGCTCGACCATAAGCTACAGGAACACATGCACTGCAATAAAAAAGTTTTTAATTTCAAAATTATTATAATTCAATATTTAATTTTTTTATGAATTAGAACTCCATCTAATTCCCCTGTAGCCACCATCTCCACCTGACTGAGGTTAGGTGGGAATTTCCTGCATTACAGTCTCCTATGCTGGACCTATGATGTTTGGTTGGTTCTATGGCTTCATAGTGACCACCTTACTGATGGTCCGGACCAGAGGCTTCTTCGGATGGGGCTCCGACGCGGGAACCATGGTATGTGAGTACGATCCATTTCTAAATATATATATATATGTGTATATGTGTGTATATTTAATGCGCTGGTGGTTGTGTGTATAACCCTTCTGCTAGCTTTCTTTGCAGTGTTTCCCGGGACCTGTGTGTTTCTGTCCTTTTTCTAGGGTAGGTCCTCGATGAGTGGGTGCTCGACTTGCAGTGTTTATTTCACTCTTCGATATGTCAACGTGCAGTACACATGCAAACTGCTAGTCTGCAGTGTCCATGGGCATGTTGCTGGTGTAACCCGCAGTTCCACGGCAAAAGCCAAAGAAGAAGCGGCTCGTCGGAGAAGCATAAATCAGCCTTAAGGAGGCATAAAAACTAAATAATCAAACGTGTCAGTTAATTTGCCCTATAATACATTGAATGATGTATCATTCTAAATGCATGCCTAAATATTTTACAATTTATTGTAAATAATTGTGATACAATAGTTGAGGTTTGACCCTACATTTTTTTCAATTACCAGCAAGCTCTTTAACCACTATTACCTACGTAAAAAAAAAAAAAAAAAGTTTTCTAGTCCTCTGAGTATGTGAGCAGCATCTGAAAGAGAATAACGTGAGCGTGGACACTGAGCAGATGTCCGGTGAGGCTGAAATGTAAAGCAGATTCCTGCTCACTTCCTGTGAGCAGCCACCAGTGCCTGTCAGTGCCCTGATGACATCATCTGCCATTCATCAGTTCCGTTAGGGCAGACCTCTGCCATCTGCTGCACCGACCATCATAACTCTACATCTATCTCCACACACACAGACACACACACTCGCTTACACACAGACATCAAACATTTATCTTAACAGCCACAGCCTTATAGAGGCTATCATAGGCCTGCATCCATCACTACACACACATACGTACAGGTCTCATAACCCCCTAAATCCATCTCCACACACACATGCACAAACATGTACACACAGACTATCATAACTCACTTTAAACCACATAGCCCTGCGCTGACACTACCTTCACGCTGTCATAGCGTGCTGCCAATCACAGCAGAAGTCCCAGACAACATTCTGCCTGCTACAAAACGAGACATCACACAGGCCATGTCACAAACTACCAGAACACAACAGGATGATTCAGACTGTCTAAAAGTCAAGAATGTCTCAGTAACACATTCTATAAAGCCTGTATACTGTATATATTATGTTATGAAAGTGAAATTTAAAATGCTTTTTAACACACACTGTAGTTCATTATCTATTATGGATGCACAACATATCAAAAGTCAGAAGTCAGAAAGAGCTTTATTGCCAAGTATGTTTACACACACAAGGAATTTGTCTTGGCGATATGAGCTTCCAGTGCAGAAGAAAGAGACAGACAGTGCAAACATACATGATAGTGCAGACATACATAGGAATTGCACAGTAGAGATGAAATATAACACAATTATAAGAAAAACATAAGTTTAAATAATGCAATATAATACAGAAGTAGAAATATAGAGAAAACAAAACATATAATTGTTTTAATGAAAGTACATATATGTTATTTACAAGTGTACAGTTTATGTAGTTTACAAAATAATATACAATTTTCAGATGCTATGTATAAATGTGCCAGTTATAATGGACAATGTATAGTTATAAAAGATTTAATTGTTCAGGCTGAATATAGGCTTGGCTGTTCTGGTGCAACAGTTCAAATAGAGAGTGGGCTAGATGTGAGGGGTCCAAAGTGATTTTCTTAACCCTTATCCTCACTCTGGAGGTGTAAAGATCTTGGAGGTTGGGCAGGGGGAACCAATAATCTTCTCAGCAGTCCTGACTGTCCATTGTAGTCTCCTGATGTCTGATTTTGTGGCTGAACCAAACCAGACGGTTATGGATGAACACAGAACAGACTCAATGATGGCCAAGTAGAACTGTTTCAGCAGCTCCTGTGGCAGGTTGAATTTCCTCAGCTGGCGAAGGAAGTACAATGGATGAGGCAGATGATGGTAGTGTCATCTGCAAATTTCAGGAGCTTGACAGATGGGTCTTATGCAGTGCATTTGTTCGTATACAGGGAGAAGAGCAGTGGGGTGACCACACATCCCTGAGGGGCACCAGTGCTGATCGTGAAAGTCCTGGATGTGAGTTTACCTAGCCTCACTAGCTGCTGCCTGTCTGTCAGGAAGCTGGTGATCCACTGACAGATTGGGGAGGGCACAGATAGCTGGGTCAGGTTGGCTGTGAGAAGAACAGGCACGATAGTATTGAAGGCCAAACTGAAGTCCACAAACAAGATCCTTGCATAAGTCACAGGTCTATCGAGATGTTGCAGAATATAATGCAGTCCCATGCTGACTGCATCATCCACAGACCTGTTTACTCTGTAGGCAAACTGAAGAGGATCCAGAAAGGGTCCAGCGATGTCTTCACAGACAGAATGTTGTTCATGCTCATTTTTTTCTCAATTTATTTAATTTGTTATAGAATTATAAATAATGTTTTATACAAATAATATAGATATTTAATTATATGTTTAATTAAACTTTTTAAAATTAAATATATAATTCTTATTTATTTATTCATCTAAAGCAATAATCATGTGGAATAAGCTATACATTATGGTTAATTAAATTAGGTTAGGTGTTTGCTTTAAGTGTGAGCAATATTTTATTATATATTCTATTCTATTTTATTCTATTTTCATGAGAACACAACTGATCATAAAGTGTATTATAAGGCATTACACATACCTTTTTAATTCATAATATACAATAGTACAGTAAAAGCCTACAATTCTATTTTTCATGCATTTCAGTTTAAGTACTAAACCCCAGAATCAGGCTCTCATACAGAATTAATTTGTGTTTATATGACTCCCTAAATCATGCACAAACACGGCATGACTTGAGGAGCCCCTCTTCTGCCATCAGTATTCACCAACGCCAGCCAAGGCTTGGTAACAGCTGGTCCTACATTAATTAGTTTAAAGTATTTATTTCAACCATATCAGCAGCAGATTGCGGCAAAACATAAGAGATTATTCCGAGCATCTGCAAATGCCCTGGAAACATCCAGCCAACCAACAGTTGAATATCAGCCGCCACTATTAAGACTTTACGAGTCCAAATTCTTGGATAGAGGAAAGGCAGAGAGGAGTGCAGGGAATCCGTGGAGGGTCTCCTACAATCTCTCCCCAATTTAACTAGCATTTTACTCCAGTTCATTACCGACAATGGGCGACCGATTAATGGATGTGTGTTTGCTTGCAATCAAATGTAACAGGGGGAAAAAAACCATAAGAAAATCTCTTTTTAATGCTGTTGGATGGCATCGTTTTGTGCCATAATAAACCGATCATGTAAACAGAGTGAATTATATGAATTTTATGCAATTACTACATCACAGAATACATTATATGTTTTCTTCTCTTTGTCACATTCATGGCTCTGGTTCTTTAGATGCCAAACATGTAGCGAATCAGCAAATGAGAAACAATAGAGGAGAATTGGATGTCAGAAGCCTGTGTTTGGTTTGCAGCCACCGTAGTCCTGGATT